AGCGACGAGAAGAAGCGATATCGAAATGCAAAGGATAACTATTACGACATGCAGCGATGTGGTAAGTGATCGATGTTGTTTGGTCCCTCGTGAGGTTAAATAGGACAGTTTCAGTTCGCACATATCAGCGCCTTTAAGTGAAGCCTCTCCCAATAAACAAAGACTTAATGTGTGATACATCATACACACATCACACCTGTAATGACACAGAATACTGTACGATGCAGCCGACAGAGGTTAGAATGACAACCCCCATCCTGCATCTCTTTAGTGCAAATTCAAATATAGGTTTTTTCTCATCCACTATTTAGTTTTGCAAGAACGCGAGTCGATACAGAGAACTGGACAGGAAAATCAAAGCTCGTCTCCCCTTTCACACTATTGTATTAACCCTTCAGTGGTAACTTTCATGAGCCCCAATCTTGTTTTTTTTTTTCGTTTTCCTAGGCCTTGCACCGAAGCCTCCCCCCTTCATGGCGAACGAACAGCCGCCGAAACGCCAAATTGACGATGTCGACAGTGACAACGATGGGGATGAAGATTGGTCTCCACCCACCGATTATGTAGCCAAGGTGAGCACTCATCCTCTCTCTATTTCTGTGCCTTATTCTTTAAAATCTTAAACTTCTCGACACCGTGGCCGTTACGTCTCGCAGGCTCAGGCACGGTTGGCTCTTCTCGTCCCCGGGGCCACCATGACTATCAAGGACAACCTCGTCCTGGTGCCCACCACCTTCGCGGCCTGGGAGAGGCACGTGCTCAGCGGCGCCGCCAGCGCCTCGGCGGCGGGAGCAACCCCCGCACCCCCCTCACCCCAGGCTTCCCCCGCGGCTGACGCCGCCGCGGCCACCGGGTCCTCCGCGGCGACGTGCTCCCGCTACCCCAAGAGGAGCGACACCCGGATGGACTACATGGAGCCCAAGCTGCGCGACGACGACCTCCTCTGTGAGTGGCAGTGCGGTCCCGGTCCCCGCCGAGGGCTGTAATGATGGTAAGGAATACTCTAACGTCGAGGTCCCTCGCGGTGTTTCAGTCTGCGATGATTGCGGCAGGGAATGGGAAGGCGACTGCCCGACACACGGAGCCCTGAAAGTCATTCCGGACACCGAGGTACGCATCGCTCCGTGCTGACTGCCTGATAACGACCCTGGTAATGGTCTGATTCTGATTTGCATCATACTCTTTCGCTCCCCGTGTCGCTCGCCAGGTCGCCGTCGGCCACCCCGAGCGGGCCCTGCTCACGGTGCCGCGCCAGCTCGTCGTCAGGGTCAGCAAGTCCCCCGGCGCGGAGCGAGGCCGGCGGGGCGTGTGGACGCGACAGCCAGTGCCCAGGAGGGCGCGCTTCGGGCCGTACGAGGGCGACGTCAAGGAGGTGAGGCCTCCGTGCACCTCGCACGGTTAAAGCCTACTACCCGACGGTCGTTGTACATGACGGGTCGCAGGGCGTTCTACTTTTTAAGACAGTCACCACTTTGATCTCTAGACCAGCTCCGACGGTACAGCAGACGGTGAGCCGCGCGATGACACCGTCGACGCCTCGGACATGACCTCGTCCAACTGGATGCGCTTCGTGAACTGCGCGCGCCGCCCTGGGGAGGAGAACCTCGTCCCGTTCCAGTTCCAGGGCCACCTCTACTATCGCACGGTGGGCAGGATCCTCGCCAAGACGCAGCTGCTGCTCCCCGAGGCATACAACGACCCCGTGCAGGACAAGCGAGCCATCAGTAATCTTGCAGGTGAAGTATAGTTTTACACTTACGGGTTATGTGTACGTCATAATGACTCCAGTGTGAATAGCCCATTTCTCCCTTTGCACGTCCCCTCACAGCCGCCACCTTCCCCTGCGAGCAGTGCGACCTGTGCTTCAGCAGCCCCCTGTTCCTGGCCCAGCACCTCCGCGCCAGCCTGAGGTGCTCGGGAGAGCAGCCCGGAGCACCCGGAGCAACGCAGCCTGCGGGTGGAGAAAAGCAGTCACACCAAGGAGAGGGCCAGGGCGGTGCAGCAGTGGGTCACCGCTGCGTTACCTGCGGCGAGAACTTTCGGTCATCGTCTGGACTCATGCGGCACATGCGGGTGCACTTACCTAGTAACAACCCCCACAAGTGCGAGACCTGCGGGGCGGCCTACAGGAGCGAGCCCGTCTTGAAGGACCACATGCGAGCGGCGCACGGCTTCATCGAAAGACCCTACAAATGTGAGACGTGTGACGCTGCTTACGCTACAAGTGTCAGTCTGCGCATACACGTGGGGAAACACACTGGGGAAAAGCGTGAAAAGCCTCACATCTGTGAGACCTGTGGAAATAGTTTCTTTGATAAAACCGGCCTACGCAGGCACATGTTAACACACTCGGCAGTGAAGCCTTACATCTGTCCAGCCTGCGGCAAAGGTTTCACGAAAAGTGTCCGCCTCGAAGGGCACATAAGGGTGCACACTGGTGAGAGGCCTTTCCGCTGTCAGATCTGTGACTCCGGCTTCACGCAGAAGCAGTTTCTAAGCAAGCATATGAAGAAACAACACAAAGAAGCCCAATGAGTTAAAACAACTTTCAACCCTGTCAATTGAATCTCTAACTGCAAATGTCTCTGTAAAAAGTAAACTTTTTAGTTTAAAAGTAAAACTATTTGTATAGCCAAGCTCTTTTTGTTGTTACATATTTTTGTATACGATTACAAAAAAATTCGTTTTTATTTTTTACATCTTTTTGAATTATATTGTAATTCCACAAACGTGACTCTTTAATTTTGTGTCAACTTTCATCAATAAAATAAAATGGAACCATTTGAGCCCTGCGGCAAGGACATAAGGCAGCAACTAAGAACACCGTCTCCTAAATCTGGGGCATGTCTACGTCCCTGTTTGTAGCTACACGATTGTAGCTACAGCCGACAGTGACCGAGTCAGCTTAAACTGAACCGTCTATAGACGAATTCATTACTTCCGCCAATGCTAGAATATCAATCAGAAGTAAACAGCGCTAAAAACTAAAGCGAAAACGAAATATATCAATGCCTCTCCGAAGCTCTCACCTAGTCCAAGCACTCGGGGGGTAGGGGGCCGCGACGCGGGGGGCCCGATTCAGGAAAGCATTGCCTACCCTCCAGGCGTTTTCAGCGACAATC